ATTGTATAGTTAACTGTATTAATATTTCCTATTATATATATATTGCCATCAAAAACGTCGAGCGCGAATCCAGCATCGTCTCATTCAAGAATTGAAAAAAAATGCAAAAACTTTTCGTATTTTTCTCGCATTACAAATCTGTTTTGTACGTTAAAATATTGTTAGTATATAGTAAAAGTATCGTAGATTTTATTTCCGTGATTAGTTTAGCGTAGATGTAAAGATATTTGAAGCATTTTGGATTGTTTGAAAGTATATGTATCGTTAGTTTGATTGCATTTGCCTACCTTAGGAAATAATACAACTATACAATGCCTCGCCCGCGCGCAGGCAGGCAACCATAACATTGGGCTGCCTATGATGCAACACATATTTATGACAGTTGCAACAAAATTACATTGGACGGAATTTTGTCAACGTATATTAACTTTGCAATGTTGACAGGAATGGTCTCGAATGTTACATCCACGATTGTAATCACCACTGTTCTGATAATGTAAGTATACCATGGGACCAAACATTTGAGTATTATGGCCGCTGCCATCAATTACAATTTTTGTATGACTCAATCTCAGATGCCTACCACTTTTGGAACAAACGTGGCTGAATATAAACATGTAAATGTGAACCACTCACTTGTTCTTTTTCGAGTACTGTACCATCTGCAGGACATCTTGGGTTTGAACTCCTGAATAATAAGAATAGTTTTCATAATATTGCACTGTTTAATATTCGATCTTAAGGATCAAATAATCAAACCTCGTTTGATAAGTATCACGTTGTGCCTGCAGAGTGACAGAGGCACAAGGCAGGCCGGTTCAACCGTGCCAAATATCGCCATGCCAAAATATAAGCGAATATTATATGCACCAATCCACTGATGCCGACTGGGTGATGGACAAGGCCTCATATTTCGCATACAACATGGTCGGGGGTGGTGATCAAAACGAAATACATTCGTTGCCGAAGTATGGGATGTTACCTGAGCTACAGAGTCCAGTTTTGCTCTAACCGTTAGCTATATGGGTAAATATCAGGATTGTTTTGACTCTGGAGCTCAGTTGGTTAGAGCGCTGCACCGGAAATGAGAGGCCTGCAGGTTCAATTCCTGCCAGAGGGCCTATAGTTGCATTTTTCGCAGCGAGGAGTATTTAGGCATAGCAATAAAGAAAATCAACATACTCTAGCAATGCTTGCACGCAAGCAAAACACATCAAGTGTCCACATTGAGTTTGCATGGGCATGCACAACAACATGTCACAACTGGTGCAGATGAATTTCTTATCGATTTTCTTACGATCTTCATCCACAATTCTTGTTCCCGGCATGATGGAAAAAGAGATTGAACTACAAAAAGAAAAACAAGACTTTTTAGAATACGTCCTCAACGTGCCTCGTTATCCTACAGTTGCAAATAATAAACAATTATTGAATGAGGTTGAGTATAATATCGAGAATTATCAACGCCGAGGTTTGTGTTATCTACCGAAACCGAGGCCTTGATAATTCTCGATATCATACGAAAACCGAATTCAATACTTGTTTTCTTATATATTCAAAAGCTAGAAAAAAAGCAAAGCGATGATATTGTTTACGCTTTTAAAAGTATGGAATTTTCGCGCGCTTTTTTAGCTTATCTAATCTAACCAAAAAGATTTGAAAGAGAAGCAGTCACATCTATATTATAGTAATATTGTTGGATGATGTTGGTCCAACAATCTTGGATCCGTTTAAACAGGCCTTAACTGAAAAAGTCTTAGGCATGATAATAGATGATCAATTACGCTGGGATGAACAAATAAATAACATAAGTAAGAAAGTATTTCAAAGGAATCGGCATGTTACGACGAGCTAAATAGTTTGTTAAAAGAGAAACGCTTCAATTTCTTTATAATTCTATATGGTTCAACCTTATTTGAGTATTGCTCGCTGGTTTGGGGCAACTGCGGCGAATCCTTGAAGGAAAAGTGAAAAACTGCAGAAACTTCAAAACAGGGCAGCAAGGGTCATCACAGGTGATACTTATTGACGCTCAAAAGATATTTTAAAAAAGTTGAATCGGAAAAACCTATCCGAAAAAAGAAAAGAAAAAGCAAGTGCGTATATGTTTCAAAAGCTATTACCGGAAATTGCCCGGAAAACATAGTTGAAAAGTTTAAAATATCAAATTCTGAAAGTTAAGATATGATTTAAAGTGCCTATGACACGAAATTTCGTCCCAAATGTTTATGATTGCATTGTAAAGATCACTTAAAATGACTTAATAATTCCTTTTATAGAATTTTGGTAACTTGCTTCCTTTGCAAGATATTCAACTTTGTTTCATATGCAAATATCACCGGTGTGACATCACAGTCGCATAATGACATTTTGAAAACGCAATATTTTACCTTAATAAAATATGTTTACAAACAAATACAGAGGGTTGATTACCAGTTATGAAATTAATACATATACAAGGGCAATTTTTAAGTTTTTTAGATACGCATTCGTCAAGAAAACTATACTTTTCTGAAAACTCATTATGTGATGTGATGTCATGCACACCGGTGATATTTGCATATGAAACAAAGTTGAATATCTTGAAAAGGGAGCAAGTTATTATTAAGTCATTTATTAAGTCAATTATTAAGTCATTTTAAGTGATCTTTACAATACAACCATAAACATTTGGAGTGAAATTTCGTGTCATAGGCACTTTAAGAAGGAATAATAAATTTTCAACCGATTGCTAAAACCGAAAGCAAATTCTATGGTTCGCACTTTGGCTATGCTGCTGCCAAAATTTGGAACGAAAGGAATAAAGTAGAGTGAATGTATCTCTATATTTCTGTGTTTTTGTTTATTTTCTTTTTAATATTGTAAACGGTCTAATGAAAATCAACCATTTTAATTTGTATATATATATTTAGTAATAGTTGGGTTGATTAGACACCGTGTTAAAAGATGTGAAAATTGAATAATAATAATAATAATAATAATAATAATAAACACTCATTTACTGAGACATCGGTAAAACAGCGTTTTTTGTGGTCTCGGGGCCACAAAACACGCTTTTTCCCTCGGTCGATAACATACATTCATTTAGTTTCGCTTTATACCTCAAAGGTTGTCTATATAAAGGTTGTCTAAGGCAATATATATATATATACCTTGTTTTATCCAATAGTTACCATCTCTCTAGTGATATCGTGCACTCTTCGCGTACATTAGTTGTTTTTACGTATACTAGTATATAATAAATATGCCAAACAAAGCACGTATAGTAGTGATATAATAAATATGCCAAACAAAGCTTTATATATAATTCTTTGTCTCCCTCTCTCGCTGTATATATATTTCTTGAATATATAATATATATATATGCATGACTGTGCCACATGGGAACCACATGTTTACCATGTGTTGCAGACAATGTACATGCATACATACATATATTATTCAGCTCACTGCCCAACGGGGCTTTTCAGTGACCGACTGTATACATCAAGTATTACGATAGCTTGCGAACAGGCTCTTTCAATTCAATTCAAAAGCCTGTTCGCAAGCCAGTATTATACGCTTACTTGTATTACTTTATTTATAGCCTAGACTAATTATTTTTACAATTGTGATATTATGTTTATCCTAACCCACCCTGACAACTTTCCCTGTGGGAGAGCGTAGACGGATTCTTTTCACATGAGTCCGAAGCGAGAATCGAATTCCCCACGCCATTCCACAGGTGGCCACTCTCTTTCCTATATCGTCTCTAGTCACAGTTGCTTGATACTCAATAGGGCCATTTATACGGGACAAAATAAGTCGCGACTTACATAAGACGCGTCTTATAAAAGCGGAGTTATCGCATAAATGGTTCTCTACGGCTTTATTCTTCTTCACTCGCTATAGCTGTAATGTTGTTTCGGTTGTTTTTGTTTTAATATGCAAGGCTAATAATTTTACGTTGTTTCAAGTTTCGGGCATGTGTAGTTAGAATTTTTGTCTAAAATTTCTTATTTAAGACGCGACTTAAATAAGAACAGCTAAAAGTCCTGTTCTTATGTAAGACGCGTCTTATCCAAGACGCGTCTTACATAAGAATTCTGTACCTTTTATACGACAAACTCGCGTCTTATTTAAGTCGCGTCTTATGTAAGTCGCGTCTTATTTTGTCCCGTATAAATGGCCCTA